AAGTGTTAATTAATGCCACATGTATATAACTGGAAGATAAAATTGGAAATGACTATTATATATCAACCTTGACCACAAAAGGCTGGAGGATTGGTGATTGCATTATCCTACGTATTAGGTAAATGGATTATTTATCAAATCGTTTTCAAGCTGTTCACTTCAATAAGGCCTATTAAGGTGTCGTATGCTCCCAATGAGTTGCAAGAAGGATTAGTCCCTCACAACTTTAAGTCCTTGATAGTGAAAGATACTCGCATTTAGTGTCTCACATGTTATTTTTCTGATTTTATTTATAGGGCAGAGAGAGAAGATATTTTTTAGGGAGAATTAGAGAAAAGGACCTAATATAGATGATATTTATTGAAAAGGATCATAAAAACTATAATTGTTTAGAAGGACCAAATACCAAAATATAAATTTAGAAATATTGTTTTGCGCCTAACTAAACCCCCTATATTCTCTCTCACCATATCCTATAATTATCTTTTTTAAAATGAAATAATAACTTCTTATTCATATTAATTCAAACTAATTAGAATTACAAAGTCAAAACCAATTGTAATTAATCAAATTAAATTAATGACCAACACTAATTAATTTATTTTTCCATTATTTTTAATCAATAAAACTTTGTTTAAGCTTTCTGAATGATGAAGTTATCAAAGTTATAAAAGTCAACCACATTTTTATTTATTTATTTCATAACCTTTTTTTTTTGGCAAGGTACTCTTGTTTTATTTCAGGACATTAATTATAAATTTATAAACCCAACCCTTAGAAATAAATTGAATCATATTGGTTAATAAAATTACAAATTTCAAATAAAAAATAGCATATAAAAGTCATTATATCAACAGGTATTTATCATAACAAAAGTAACTATAATAGTTTGAGTGCCAAAATTCAAATTTGAGTCTACATAAATATAAAAGATAAAATTGAAAGAGCTATCTCTATTTAGACTTGATAAAAATTTGACCTAATAACACCAAATATCAAATATTGCATAAAAGAGCTTTTTATTTGGGTTCAATGTTTATTATATCTTTTCCCCCTATTTTTTTTCTTAATAAATTCTCAGTGTTCAATTTCATACATAAAAAGGCTTGAACTTGTATCATATTAACGATCAATGATATCAAAATCTAAGAAAAATATACATGACATACCAACATTTACCACACAATATGAACACATGAAGTGGTAACATTCATTTTAAAAAAATTGCTACAATACTTTTTACTTTTATAAGTTATGAATAAGTTATACATTATTTATTATTATATTTTTTTAAATTTGTAATTGTATTATTTAAGAGGATTCAATTTAATCCTAAATTGGGATTATAAGGCATGAAACAGAATAATAGTATGAAAAGCCAAAAAAAAGAGTTTTGTTAATTAAAAAAATGATAGACAAATAAATTAACTAGTGTTGATTGTTAATTTCATTTTACTAATTAGAATTGCTTCGTAACTTTGTAATTCTGATCAGTTTGAATTCTTCATTATTTCATTTAAAAATAAGATAATAATAGGACATGGTGAGAGAGAATAAAGGAGATTCAGTTAGGAGCAAAATAGTATTTTTAAATTTATATTTTTTTGATTGGTCTTTCTAAGTAATTATAATTTTTAAAATCCTTTCGAATAAATATTATCCACAATAGGTCCCTCTCTCTAATTCTCCCTATTTTTTAGTCCTATTTATAGGGTACTGAGAGAAATTTTTTATATAGATATACAATTTTATTCTTTATTTATGATTGTGTTGACTTTGTTTACATGAAGTATAATGTATATTAAACAGGGATAAAATTAAAAAGTTATTGAATTTTAAATGAGAGTTAATAAAATTTAAAATTTTTCTTAGTCCGTATGTTAAAAGTAATTTATAAATAAGAGAAACTGTTTGAAAGAATATCATTGTCTCTGTAGATTTTCATTGAAAGTGTTTATTTTTTATTTTTTGTTTGGACGAAACCAATTAAAGCAAGCAAATAGAGATGGACTTGACACCTAGGAAGGCGGTACCCATGTTTGAAGGAGATGGTGGATCTTACTACTTATGGCCAACTTCTCAGGTTCATACTCTGGCTAGCAACAACGTTGGTGCTGGTCGGCGTGTTCTTGAACCTCAAACGCAGATAAAGAGGTCATTTTGGGGCTGAAGAAAGGAGATGCAATTCCAGAACCTATGGAAGCAGTCTCATGGTGGTTCAACAAATGGAGATTCTGAAATTTTTATTTTTTGGTGAAGTAATGGAGATTCTGAATTGATCATAGTGTTTCTGGGTGAAACATGTCAGGCTTAATTATGTTCCTGGCTTGTTCACTTACTTTTTCTAAGTGGAAACTCAAGGAATTATGGGAGGCTTCGCTACTGAGGTCATAACCAAAGCTTACAATTTTTGATCAACAAAGAAGCTGACAAACTCACAATCTTTTCAAAAATACCCTTAATTAAATATCCTTAATTAAATATAATTAAATTTAATCTTTTCAAAGAAGTTGATTTTTTTTTTAAAAAAATTCAATCTTTTCAAAAATACCCTTAATTAAATATCAAGAATTCTAATCCAATCTCACTAATTTTTCTACTCCTCTGATCTTTAATATAGGATCTAAGTATTAAGTTGATTTTGATTCTAAATATAAAACATATTTATTATATTTATTAATTTAACCAAAACAAGTTAGGTACACATATTTCAAGAAAAATAAGTCTCTCTATTTATATGTGCATAGCCTCTGCATATAAAACACTCACCTTTGGCTCTGTAACAAAAACCCATTACTTGTCTCTCCTTCTCATATGCGTGGCCCTTTTTGGTTTAATTTGCATCTTTAACGGCCACTCTCAAAAATCACTTTCGTATTATATGAAATAAAACTCGTTCCACGTATTTACCCTGTACAGTACAAAATCACTTAAAATGAGCTGAACCTAACACCAATGTGGTCGATCGAGCAGGAGGATTTAATCACTTAGCTTAAAAAATGGTTAGCTCAGGTTGATGTCAGAAATGACATGTACGTAGATGATTAACTAAAGGGATCATCTTTATTTTGTATACAATTTGAGAAAGAGAAAAGCAATGGGTGCATATGGGAAGTAGAAATTGGATCTGTTTAACGGACAGTTTTTTGAAAACACGTTTGTTAATTAGTTTTGATAGGTATGTCAGTGATGAAAGGCAAGAACATTGGTTCACCAGAATAACTAGGGGCCACATATATATGTGGTCCTTATTCCTATATCTTGGAAACGTGTGCACAACTCGATGAAGAATTCAAAACAAACAAGACCCGTAATTTATTGATTCATGAATTACACATAAAAAAGTTGGAAACTGCTGGTGGGCATGGACGAAAATATGGAAAAGTTTCAGTAGAAAGCTCTATACACACACACTCTAAAGAGAATTAAATATGAAATATTAATATTATTTACAGCTGCGTGCCTGGATGATGGTACAAATAATAGCCGACCGGTGGTGAAGAACGACAAAGTCAATATATAGCCCCTTCCGCTATGATGGAGATGGACACAGCGTTTATCTAGTTTTGTGTTGTGGTGAAATGAGACTGGACCAAACAAGTCTTAAATTTTTTCCCCGGGGGGGGGGTCTTAAATTTTATATGCCTATTATATACAAATCATTTCAAATGGACTGCTCAAACCCCAAAAATCAATCTTCCGCTTTTGCTGGCGTTTTGCATCGTACCAATTTTTCAGACCAGGAACAGGAGGAGCATTGATAACCAAAGCAAACAAGACCCGTAATTTCTTGATTCATTACATAACAAAACTGAAAACTACTGGTGGGCATGGACCAAAATATGAAAAGTTTCAGCTGAAAGAAAGAGATATACACACCAAAATATGAAAAGTTTCAGCTGAAAGAAAGAGATATACACACACTGCCTCCTAATTATAAGACCCTGTTTATAATTTATAAACAGGGTCTTATAATTAGAACTAGAAATAATATAAATGAATTAAATATTAAAAATTTAAGATGCTCTTAGATGTTGTGGGCCCTACGCACCCTCCACTGATAATAAGCCTACTCTCCCTCCACCCCACAATTTGTCAAGTGATAATTAATAAATGGAAGATAAAATAGGAATGGACTACATATCAACTTTAATCACGGAAAGGTGGCGATCGGTGATTGCATCCATCGTACGTATATTAGGTGTCATGGATTTATCAAATCATTTCAAATGATCTCCTCAAACCCCAAAAATCAGTCTTGTGCTTTTTCTGGTGGTTTGCATTATACTCCTCCGGTCCTAATTATAAGACCCAATTGACTTATTTGAGGAGATTAAGGAAGTAAGTTAAGTTGGTTATTTATAATAAATAAGTGTTGTTATTCCTAAAATATCCTTGCTAATTAAGTATATTGGCTAAAACTATCATTATTAGAAGAATTATCTTGGAAAAAAATGTATAAATATAAGAGAGAAAATGGATTGGGTCTTATAATTAGGACCAAATAAAAAGTCAAATTGGGTCTTATAATAAGGACCGGAGGAGTACCAACTTTTCAGACGAGGAACAGAAGGATTATTGATAACTTCAAATTAAAAAAAAGCATCATTATTAAAGCAAGGCGACGAAGAAAACAAAAGCTAATAGCTTCAAAATTAAAAGAAAAAAACATCATAATTAAAGCACGGCCAAGTAGAAAACAAAAGCTAATCCTTTCGATCGGACCACTCTGTGTTTGAGATTGAGTCCATACACACGCAAGGCTCTATAAAACACTTGCCTTTGGCTCTGTAATAAAAACTCATCACTTGTCTCTCTCATTGCCATTTTCCTCCAAAACAACAGGTGCCTCTCTCTTTCTCTCTGTGACATTATCTTCCTGATGAAAATGAACTGCTAAGAGCTTTTAAGAGTTTGAAAGAATATTCATTGTCTCTATAGATTTTCATTGACATGGGCGATTTTTCCCTGTTGTACTTGAAGGAAACAAAAGAAAGCAAATGGAGATGGACTTGACACCCCAGAAGGCCGAAGCCATGTTTGAGGGAGATGGTGGATCTTACTACTTATGGTCAACTTCTCAAGTTCCTGCTTTAGCCAGCAACAACGTTGGTGCTGGTCTCCTTGTTCTTCAACCTCAAGGCTTTGCTCTTCCTCACTACACAGATTCTTCTAAAATTGGCTGTGTTCTTGAAGGTAGCTCAATATCTTCTCAAGCCATATAGTATTGTTTTTCATAAGTATCCAGTCTTTAATATTAGAACCAGTTTGACAATTAATTTAGTTCAAATATAAGAACCCAATCCACTTTATCTCTTATATTTATTCATTTTCCTAAAATAGTCTCTATAGTAATTGTATGTGTTAAATATTCTATTAAATGATAATTTTAGGCAGCACACATGATTATTAAGGGTATCTTAAAAAAGATAACACATTTATTAACTTAACAAACTTTTTTAATCTATTTAAATTAGTCAAATTAGTTTTTACATATATATTAAGACCGGTAGTGTGTGTGTATATATTTTGTAATATACATGATTGTTTCCTAACTGTATAGTCTCTGCATCATAATCTTAAGTCTTATTGTCAACGTCTTGGCCAATGCAGGGACAGCTGGCATAGTTGGGATGGTGCTCCCAAACGCAGGAAAAGAGGTCGTTTTAAAGCTGAAGAAGGGAGATGTAATCCCAGTACCTATAGGAGCACTCTCATGGTGGTTCAACAGCGGAGATTCTGAGCTGATCATTGTGCTTCTGGGTGAAACATCTCAGGCTTATGTTCCTGGCCAGTTCACCTACTTCATTCTAAGTGGAACTCTAGGAATTATGGGAGGCTTTTCCACAGAGGTCATAACCAAAGCCTACAATTTGACCAACGAAGAAGCAAACAAGCTCACAAAGAGCCAACAAGGATCTATGATCCTTAAGCTTCAGGAAGGCCTACACAAAATTCCAGAACCCCAGATGGACAAGACCAAACAGATGGTGTACAACATTGATTCTGCAAAACCGGACCATGGGATCAAAAATAATGGAGGATTAGTCACAACTGTGACTGACTTAGATCTCCCTTTTGTTGTAGAAGTTGGGCTGCATGTGATCAGAGTGAAGCTTGAACCTAATGCTACTAAGGCACCGCTCTATCTAACCATCCCTTCAACTCAATTGATTTATGTTGCTAGAGGAAGTGGGAAGATTGAGATTGTGGGGTTCAACGGGAAGCTTGTGTTGGATTCTAAGGTTGAAGCCGGTCAACTGATAGTTGTGCCAAAGTTCTTTGTCTCTGCACAGATTGCTGGTGAAGTTGGAATGGAGTTCTACTCCATCGTCACAGCAAAAAGGCAAGTAACTTGTCTAGCTTCTCGTCTAAAGTCTTAATCAAATCATTATTACTACTTCAAGTCCTTAATATAGAAGCTAATTGACTAATTTGAGTAGATTAAGAAAGTTTATTAAGTTAGTTATTTATATTAAATAAGTGTTATCTTTTTTAGAATGCCCTTTCTAATAATGTGTATTAGCTAGAAATACCATTTAATAGAATCTTTAACATGTACAACCACTGTAATGAATATTTTGAAAAAAAATAGACAAATATGAGAGACAAAGTGAGTTGGAGTATTGTATATAGAAACAAATCGAATATCAAATTAATTCTTATATTAAGGAGCAGATGTAGTATTATTCATGTTTATATATATATATATATATATATATATATATATGGATCACTTGCAGGCCTATGTTTGAAGAGTTAGCTGGGAAGTCATCAATATGGGAGGCCATGTCTCATCAAGTGCAACAAGTGGCTCTCAATGTGGATCCTGCAATTTTAGAGAAGCTTTGATCTCGTCCAACCTCAAATCTCCTTCCTCCAACTAATTAATCTCTTGTGCTTCATGTTGCATCCTACGTACGAACATGTACGTACGTATGTATGTAATGTTATTTCTACAACAAGTCTGTATTGTGCTTTGACTTTCTTTCATGAAGAGTGAGCATGCACACATAGACACAAGTGTGACGAGTCTAATAGTGTTAAGATTAAGTTAAAAGAAAATGGATGTGTAGAACATTGATGCAGTAAGTGGGGGAGGAGAAGAAATCTTTAGCAAGTTATTGTACGGGAGACTGTACTGTCGATCACAGATGATTTGTTAGGAGCATATCCTTGATTAAGGACTCAAATTGGCTTTTAATTATTAAAAAAGAATTAAAAATTATAAACCATCATTAGATTTTTTATATTAGTGAAATAAAAAGAATTATATGCCCACGTGTTAATTATTTTCTTCAAAAAAGTATGGCCCCCACCATTATTGTCCCCTTCTATATAGCTATGTATGTTTTTGCTAAAAAAATTGACAACTTCTAATGAGTTTTTTTAATGGTGGGAATCGGTGGTCATATGCAGATATGCTGCTGTTTAAAACATACCGACATTAAAATTAGTTGATTTTTTAAAAATTATTCAGTCTTTTCAAAATACCCTTAATTAAATATAATGAATTCTAATCCAATCTTACTAATTTTCTAGATCCCTCTTTCAATCATATAAATTACTAATGCATAATGTAATAAGAAGGATATTATTGAATGCACATGAAAAAAATGCCCCTATAGCTAATAGCTATTGTGGGGCAAAGAAGGAAACACACTACAATTTTTTTTTTTGGCCAACACACAGGTTGATTTCTTTTTTTTTTGGTTTCACAAATGTTTAGATGAGTTAGGTTTTGAGAATTCATTAGAGCTTGGATATGCCTCCAGGCTTCGAGAGCTCTTGCAGAGGTGTTTACAAATCACACACCAACAAGGTTTTCACATCAATAGTAGATTTGAACTCATGATGTTGTAGATTATAAACTGACTCCTTACTAATTAGACTGACTCCTGTTCGCAACATAACATGTTGAGTTGGATAATCGGTTGGGGAAATATTTGGGGGTTCCCCTATAGCCACATTGAGGATCGAGTTAGAAGGAAGTTAAGCGATATGGATGGACAGAAGGGTTACATTTTTTTCACTTGCATATGGACCCTTTGAAATCTCTCCTTCGCCGGGGGGGAAAAAAATCACGTTCTATGCTTTCTAAGCCTCTTGTTGCTTTTGTGACAAAATGATCACAAATGGCTTCGGCCCCTATTGGATCATATCAGGTGTCCTTTAGTTTTATTAGGCATTAAATTCTGAGTGATATTTTGATATCTTGCAAACATAAAATGGTGCAGTTTTAAATTTTTTTAACAATTCTTTAAAAAAAATAAAGTAAGTTCTAAAGATGTGCCAAAAGTAGCCATAAGCATAATGGGGAAAAACAACAAAGATTAGAAATGCAGAAAAAATGCAGAAAAAGTACAATTCCGAGCAAATGAAATAGTTAAACGCAGAATCACTGAATTAAAGAACTGGAAAAGAATAGGAAGGCGGAAGTTCAATCCATGTACCTTTAAATTGCCCTTTTTGACCCATCTTTTGCAATTTATAGACATACTTGATAATATTCCTTTGCTCCTCAGCAATGAATACTTGATTATGAAGTTCAAGTCCTTGGAGAACATTTGTGTCCCTCCCACCAATTCTTTGAATGTAAACAAAGTTCTTTTTTCTACCAACCAGTGAAAACCTGATATGCTCCTTTTGTTCCGCAGACAATCCGCATTCAAACAATGAGACTCCACCGATTCCATCACTTAGTAGCAACTCAAAATCAGATGGCACTATAGATTGCCGTTTGCGATTCAAATATTTAGGTGTGGAATCAAAAGCAAGTCTATTATCATGCTTCCTCAACCAAGGAGTTTCATGCCTTTGGATATAGCTTCTTGTACTATCCTCTTCTTCTCTATGATTTCGATGATGAAACACTAAAGCATCACCATTTCTGGAGTGGAAGTATGCATCTCTAGAATATGCATAGTCATCATTATCAGCATAAGACGTTTCATAGTGCTCCCCTGCATTCAAAAGAAGCACTAAATAAATATATAAACATAGAATAAAAAAAAATCATTATTCATTTCAGTAACTGTCAATTTGTTTTTTTTATCAATTTTAAAATCTATTTTTCAATAAAAATTATAAATGCACAGAGTTGAAGCTAGTTTATCAATAGAAAGATAACAGTAATGCATTACCATTCCTGGACTTGTAGGATGCATCAGTAGAGGAAACGTGATAATCATCTTCATCCTCGGGATAAGGGTTTTCAAAAAACTTTCCTGCATTTAAAAGAAAAGGCTATATATATATATATATTATATAAACATAGAATGAAAAATACTTCACTATTCACTTATGTGGAAGTGCCAATTTTTTTATCAACTGATTTCTTTATTTTAAACTTAGTACTCCTCCGGTTCTTAATATAATACCTATTATTTTTTCATAGTACTTTCCTGCATTTAGAAGAAAAGCTAAATAAATATAATTTATATAAACATACAATGAAAAATATTTCACTATTCACTTGTGTAAACACCCCCCAAAAAAATCAATTGATTTGCTTACTTTAATCTTTGCATTATTTTTCAAAAAACTTCTAAATCCCCATGTAAATGCACATGGTTAAAGCTAGTTAATCAATCATCAATCAATCAAAAAGATAACAAATAATGCATTACCATTCCTGGACTTGTAGGATGTATGTCTAGAAGATCCATAGTAGTCATCAGCAGCAGCATGTGAGGCTTCATAGTGGTTTCCTGGGGTTCAAGCGAAATACTAAGGGCCTGTTTGGGTATCCCAAAACCATGGTTTCAGAAGCACTTTTCCGTAAAACAAGATAATCTCCTCCACATATTTACTTCGTAATCCGTAAAAGTACTTCTGAAACCATGGTTTGGTTTCTATTCAAACACACCCTAAATTTATGAACAACATCAAAGATAACAGATAAGGCTTTTGCCTCAGATAATTTTAAATAAAATTTAGAATCAAGTGCTTTTATAATATCAATGCACAAAATACATAACAAGTAGGAAAAAAAACACAGAAGTACCCAACGAGATTGGCAAAAAACACAAAGCCATAAACTTAACTCCTTGAACCAGAACGGAAGAGTTGAAGAATAACAGAGAGAGTGAAACAATAATGAAGAAAACAAAACTTCATGAGCAGAACACAACGAAACCCATGAGAACCATTCATTTTAAAAGAAATAGAGGAAAAGACAAGTTTGATTACTTTTACAGAGATTTGAAATTTTTTGATGAAGTCGAGCCTCACAATGGTTGCAGAAGGTATCAGAGAGAATCTGCAGGATTTGCTCCTTATTCAGTGACTCTAGGAATTCCATGCCAAGATAAGTATCTACTTGAAAACAAAGCAAGAGAGAAGGAGAGAGCGTGCGAGATCAAAATAGAAATTGCAGGCAGAGAGCAACGCAGAGTGAGAGAGAGAGAGAGAGAGTGAGGAGAGAGATGGGGGAAGGAACGACTTTGGAGTTGACTGACTTCTGACGCGAGGACCAAGACAAGTATATGATGTCTTAGTTAGTTTCCTAATTTCGTGGTAGTTTCTTGGTCCTCAATCAGGCGAGTTAATTAATTTATTTATTTTAACTTGAATAAAAAAAAAATTTTTTATGGTTCATTTGTTATTTTTCAACATTTTATACTTCGGAAAAAAAGAAAAGAAAATTTCACTGTTGTTTATTTGTTGTCTTTATATAATAAGGGTGAGTGATACCAATTTTCATCATAATGCTACGAAGATATTTCGAATTTTTATAAGGTATTCAATTTATAATACTGATTTTTTAAAAACATTTTTCTGTTTTTTTGTGAATTTTTGCTTTTTCAATATGTATTAAACTCTCGCTATCATTTTATGAATGAAAATTTTTAAAGGTCAAAAAAAAAAAAGAGGTATAATAAGTTGAGATAAGACGGTACAGATTTTGTGCCATTTTATCATGAATATTGTAATGTTTTTTTATTTAAATTTTGGTAAAAAAATTTAAATAGAAAGTAAATTTGAAGTGAAAATTTTTTTCATAACAAGTATCTACTTTTTTGCCAAAATAATAAGTATTTATTTATTTAAATAAATTGGATGTAGGAATATTATTTAAACGAAAGTATAAAATTTTAAAAATATTTTCCTAATTTAATGGACAACTCGATGGGAGTGAATTGGACCGCTTGATGCCTAAAAATAGGAAGAGATTATGTTGCTATAGTTTATTTATAAAGATGTGAAATTATAATTGACGTAAATACGTAACGAAAATTAAAAAAAAAACTCATAAAATCTCAAATACAAACCTTCGAAAATTTAATGGAAAATTGGAAATTTATTCGCATCTATTTTTTTTAATAATATAAAAATATAACTCTTGACTATTTTATGTTTTTTTTGTAGCTGTATTTGAATATTTAGAATCTTGTAATTATTAATATTTGAACAAAATACAATAAAAAAATAGCAAGGAAAGTGACAAAAAGAAGAAAATATTAAGAAAGTATGATAGATAAGTGACAGAATCAATGCCATTATTTTAAGAAAAAAAGAAAAAATAAATTAATTCCAAACTTGGGAACCATCAAATACTTCATCTAGTACTAAATATAAAATTTAGTCTTGCACTATGGACTAAATCTTATAGTTGGGATATGAGTTAGTATTATAAAGAGATAATAGATGTTTTCAAAATACTAAGTTTCGTTTATCCAATAGAAATAAACTTATTTTCAACAAAAAAACAAAAATTCTCCTCATTTTTTGTTCTGGTTATTGAGTGGGCATATCTCAAAAGAAAGTACCACATTAGTGTGTATAAATACATTAATTTGTTGGCAAAAAAAAAAGAATAAATATATTAATTTGTGATTTTAAACTAATGAAGGAGTCAAGAGGCAAAATTTTCTCAAGTTCACAGCAGGTAAAAGCAGTAAAATTTGGCACAACATATAAGGGGTTGGTTTAATTCATGGAGGCAGACTATATTTTTTATGTGCTATCAACAAACTTCCCCTTCTAGGGCAAGAATTGAGGGGAAACAAGTTAGTATGAAAGGCCTGTTTGGAACTAAATAAACCAGGAAAAAAAAGTGAAGCATTCATAAGGCAAATTTTATTATGTTTGG